AGATTACTAAACATAGAAAACTAAAAAACTAAAAAGACAAAATCTTACTTAAAAATTTCTAAATAAAAAGATATAATATTAGTAGGTTATATCTACAATCATATAAATTATTTTAATTTTTATATCATCAAAATTAACTAATATAATTAAAAAATTTAATTATTAATATTATAATAAACTTTTAATAAAATCTTTAAAATAATAAAAAAATATTTATTAGTTAAAATTATTTATAAATTTAATTAAAAATAATATTATTGAAGGTATACAATATATGTAAAGAAGATCAATTATAATGAAATATAATATTATTTAAAGTAAAAAAATAAAAAAAATTGATATATCAATAAGACTTCTATATAAAATAATAGTAAATGTCAAAATTAAAATCAGTTGAAGAGAAACAAATCCAATAAAAATACTAGAACTAGAAACAGAAAATATATTATATAATTAGTTAAGTTTTTAAAAAGAAATAAACAAAACAAAAAAAGTTTATTATATTTTAAGAAAACTTAATATAAGAAGAATCACAACAATCAAGTATATAATAAACAGCTTGCTGATATTTAAAGAACTAAACAAAAAAAGACCAGAAATTGATATAACTGTTAAATAACAGGTATATCAAGATAGAAAAAAAGAAATACAAATACACTTAACAAGTTATAGTAAACTAAAAAGTTTGTAAAAATAGATACAAAAAGTAGCAATAATAATAGCATAGAATGAGCTTAAAGAGAAAGAGAAAAACAGAACCCTATTACAAGTATTATAAGGTACTATTTAAAGAAACAGAAACAGAAAAAATTACAAACAGAAAAATACTAATAAAGAAACTTACAATGCTAAAAGTAAAAAAAAGATTTAAATAACTTTTAAACAAGTAGACAATGCAGAAATATATAAACATAGTAATAAAAACAGTATAGAACACCTTCTATGACCAAGTATAGAGAGTTTGATATAAAAAAGTGTAAGACTAAAAAAAAAAGATTAACATAATGAATAAAATAAAGAAAGATACTTATGCAAAAGAGAAATTAGAAAAAAGAAAAAAAAAGATAAACAAGTAAAAGAAGTAGAAAAAAAAAGAAAAATAGAAAAAATAATTGAACAAAAAAAGAAGCTTGAAAGACAATTAATATGCTTGTCATAAAAAAAATTTTTTTCTAGTATAACTTTAAGTAATTAGATAAGTAATTTATCTCTAACTGAGATAGTATGACAGATTATACTTAGATACCATTAGGGTAACTAAGTAATGCTAAACTTAGATATTATATAATTATATATGTATATAATTTCAAGAATCTTAATAAAGTATTAACATAACTACTTAAAGTTTAAAAAAAAAAATCAAAAATTAATTGTATTGTTTTGAACATAAAATTTTATTATTGTTTAGTTTGTTCAATATATTCTATTAAAAACTAATTTGCAATTTAACAAAATACATTATTAATTATTAGGTCATTGATACATTTATTAATAAAATACTAATTTATCTAATTACATGTCATTTGAATCTACTTATTTATTGTAATTGACTTTTGTCTAAACAAATTTGCTGAATTACATTTATAAGCCTTTTATTTCTACATACTATAAATTTTTAATCAAGATGACTGTAATTGCAACAGGTCATTTTCAACAAAAATTATAACTCATTCCATTAGGTCATGTTTGGGGTTAAATAAGGCAGGATGAAAAACAAGAAAACCTCAATACTAATATAAATTATTATTACTTTCAAGCTAATGTTTCACGAATAGGTACCCGAATTGGAACCGCAGGGGATGTTTAACATTCAGCCGTCAAGCAATATTGAGTAATGATAGAATGAGAATCGATTATTCCCAATTGTTTGACTACGGAATATTAAAAATCCCCAATTCGGGTACCTGCTTGCGGAACACTAAAGGCCATATTTTAAGAGCTATCTAGATAAGGATGGAACAAAAAAAAACAGACAAAAAAGTTGAGCTAACAGAAAAATATTTTTAAAAAGAAAATAAAATTCGAATCATTTAAATATTTTATTAAAGATCACAAATTAGTTTCGTTTATTTTGTTGAAATAAATTTATGGCCAATCAAATATGCTTGTTTAATAAAAATTATTCACGTGAATGTTTCAATTTGAAAAGCATACTTCTTTAATGAAAAAAATACTTTAAAAAAAGTAAACCGATAACTTTGTAGAAAATTACTCGAACTATAAAGTGATTGGTTTAATTTTTAAAATTCTTTTGTGCTTCAGAGAGAAACGATTTAAACATGTTCAATTTTTGTTCATGTGATTGTCGGGTATAACCTGGCACCATAAAAGTTACAATTCGGATCGTAAATTCAAATCAAATGATGCAATAATACAGACCGAACTGTTACTTTATGTATAACGTGTGAAAATGTTAATTCATGTAACCCAATCCTAATTATAGTTCTATAATAATTATATATTCACCTATACTAAAAATTCATTAACAAATTATAGTTATGTTATATGTACGAATATGCAAGTATAGCGATAGACAGAAAATTCGACGTTTGATCTTACCATGAATGCATCAGAAACAAAACTTTTGAAAAATCAAAATGTAACTTTTGACATAAGAATTGAGAGTCTTTCGAACAATTAAAGTATTTATATGTAATAGTTAATTCTAAATATATATAATAAATGTTTTTATAAAAACTATAAATCTAATAAACAAAATTTTATAATTTTATAATACAGTAGTTTTATAATCTATATTTAGAAAATATGTATTAAAAAAAAAATTATTTGGTTTTTATTTTAGTTTTAATTTCAATTCATTTTAAATTTAATTAGCTTTATTACGTATTAACGTCTTCGCGATTCATCGATTAGCCAATCATTTGGTTAACATGGCTTGATTTTGATTGGTTAATTAGGGTAGCGATATACTGGCGATGAATGATAATTCCCTTTTTAAATTCATATTTAATTAAATATCTATTAATTATAATTCAGCTAAACATATTCAGTAACAGAAGTTTATACAGTAAATTCAAACATTAGTGTTAGTAATAAAAATTTTTAGAAACCATCACAAATCTAGATCGTGAGCTGTGTACATCACAAACGAAATTATTATTCTAATTTTATAGTTCCTTATCTTAATTTAAGCATATCGATATTATTGGCCGATCAAATAACAATAACTCAAACATTTAATACGTATCGATATGCGAGTAAATTTGATATTATTATGTATCGTTATCATTAAAAACTTTACAATTATTTATTGCACAAAATACATATAAATATCATTCTTAATCACGTATGTAAATATTACTTGTCAATTTGTTATAATGCCAATTTTCTATATATGTCCAGTATAGAGAGAATTCGTGAACGGAAATCCTCAGACTAACCTCCTCTTAGTTATTGTATATCTATAGAGGCATGCCCCAGGCACAACAAGAGAGAGGGGCATGCCTCAGCCCAAAGCATACTCTTTTAGGTAGTCCTGTGCACCCCAACCATAATCATGATACTCTAAGAAACAATAAAAAAACATTAATGATATTTCATTAGCATGTGGATGATTAATCAGCCAATTTGCTTAAGATTACGGTTGGTTTATCCAGTACTACTATGATCACTCGCGTTATTAATGTACAACGCTATTTCGCATTTGAGCAATTTCGGAGGCAACCGAGAGAATTTAGAGGATAGAAACATGTTACAAATGCATTGTTAGTAACATTTTAAGTTAAGCTTGTTCGACTCTATTCATTAATCGGTCTTTGTAATAGTAAATATAAAAGCAATATTAAGTCGAACATACCTAATCTTAAGTCTCAATGCTTGACGAACTTTTACAAATGATAATGATAAGAATGATAAGATAGTGCATTGCATGCTATTTGACTTTATCAACTGTTGTACATTCATATCCAAAATACGAATGATCTTCGTAAAATACATTAAAAACATCAAGCTTATCAAAATTCTATATATATTTTTGTGGATCTGTTTTTATACTTACATACATATACTGTACGTTAAACAAAAATTTTTATATTATTTTTGAAATGTCTAAATTGTAGAGATTCTAATATTAGAATGTGAAACTTCATAACGGCTAATCACTTGGACGTACGTGTGTACTTTCCTTTTTTGATATTTATATTTAAATTCCTCAAAAAAATAACTTTGTTCCGGTAGGATGTAAATCACTCTTTCAGTATCCTGATACTGTGAAACTTTCCACAATAACTTTCATGCTAACATGCTTACATGAAACAATTAAAATTATTTAACGTTAAATTACTATGTTACATATCGTTGCATTCCGTCCATGTTGTTACATCAATTTTATTACCGTGGTATGTCTGATGACGCAATCATTTATTGGCCAATCAAATCCAATAGGTTTTTTTAGTACACACCACGTGATAAATGCTTTACTATTAACAGTTAACAATGAGACATACCAATACGTAACAGGATCTATATGCAGCAATTCAGGGCCTATATGTAAGTTGAATATCTTGCATTTTCTTTATAAACTTTACAATGGCTAATATTAAAGTATTTCTGCGACATGGTTTTCGTCACAGGTTTTTGGTTGTAGTTATTAAAGAGCAAATCTTATTTGTTTATATTTGCAACGATACGATAAATAAATTTTAAATAAACGGATTGGTTACTTTCTAGACCATATTAACTCTTTTTGAAAAAAATTTTCCGTCAAGTTGTACTCTAAATATTTGACCGTTGTTGGTAAATATCAGTTCTCTACCTCGCTTTTTGAACTTTACCACCTCCTTGAAATTTACCTCTTCCTACTTCCTATTAAGCGTAGTATTTAATACTTCAAGACACTCTTTTTATCTTTTTTTCCTAATATTTACCCATCTCGGGCTGGAATGCTTATTGTTTTTTTTAGGCTTATTTTGATTTTTTTTTTTTCGTACCCTTCAGCTTTGAAGGTTGTTCTAGGTAGTCAATATTATAAAAATTCATAAATGGAATGGTAAGTTCTCTTTATACATCTCAGCTTACATATTGTATTCAATATACTTATTATTCATCCTGTTAGCAGTTATTGTTTGATACAAGTACGTCTGGAGGGTCGTAATACACCCGTAGACATTGGTTATTCCCAAGGAACTTCTGTTCAAGCTGTGCTTGAAAGGGTAGGCTTCATTTTATGTATAATCACCAATGACGTATTAATCATGTGATTGATATTATATTTGTATTGTTTAGGCATGCAAAACTTTAGGAATATATGATTCTTGGAATTATGCCTTATATAGCGAACTTTTCAAGACATGGCTATATGATTCACATTTACTATCATCTTATCCTGAAGAGGTATGCCATATCTGTCTGTACCTTTGATCCATTTCTTATCGTTTAATATCTCCTTGATATATGTGTTAATTTATTATTCCTTCTATCTACTTTATTTTGTCTTTTTTTTTTGACTTTAGGATACTTTGGTAGTTCGCAAAAAAACACCTGAATACCTTGAACTCGTATTTAATGAAGAAAATCCAAAAAAGGTTTTATCTTTTTACCGGTTTTTTTCTTTTTTGATTTTAGATCTATTAATGTCTATTAATTGACTGTTGATAAATAATTTATTTATTTATTTATTTTTTATTTTTTTTTTTTAATATATATATATATATATTAGCGCAATTTACCAACAACTTTGAACCCGAATTTAGCAGCACAACCAAAACGAAAGGGAGTCTTTGGCGGTACTAAAAGCATTAAAACATCATTAAAGACACGTTTTCATGCAGAAACAATTTACTTGACCACAATATTGTTCACTAGTGATAATAAAATATTAATAACTTCTGGTAGTAGTAAAATGTTTCCTACTATTGAAGTTATACGTGATGAAAAAATTTTCGGTAATTTTGAGGATGATAGTGAAGAATTTGCTCATGTGATAAGAACTTCATTAGACTGGTCAACTTTTAAGGAGGTTTATAATGACTCATCAAGTGATTCGGATTCATTTCATTCTATGCATTCAAGTTCAAGTGCGTGTGATTTTTCCGAAGGTTCAAATACTATGTCATTTAGTCAATATATAAATGATGAATCAATATGGTCTCACTCGTTTGGTTATGCTGCCCTAAAATTAAAGAGCGAATTATCTCTTGAATCATTGGGTATTATATATGAACATGTTGTATCCATGAATTCATCAAAGTCAAAATTCATAGTCGCTCTTCAATATGTTCCAAGCTGTATAAAAGATGAAATTGCACCTGATCTTGTAAAAACTGGAACATTAAAATGGAAAAATTTTGACGAAATAAATAACATTTATCATAAAGATTCTCATCCGATTTGGTCAACTTACATTGAAAAATGGTGTTCTAGGCAAACTAAATTATCCCCTGGTCTTTATCTAGGTGTTTTATACACTGAAAGTACATTACAAAGTATTAAAATTTTAGTACCAAAAGATCGAAAACAATTTATTCCTTTAGGGAAAATTCGAGATGAAGCAATGATTACTGCTGAGGAAACAAGTTGGATTAAATCTTTGACTTGTCTTAGTCAAGATTGTTTTATGGATTTAGTCATGGCAACCAAAAATGATGATAATAGAACTACTTTAGGTCAATTTCAAACTTCCTTTATAAATTCTTATCATAAGTTACAACATGACACTGGTCTTAAATGGGAAGTAAATGATATATATTGCGAGCAAACTGTAGATGTTTATTTGGATTTACGAACAAATCATTTATATACCATGACAAGTGAACTTGAAGATAATGCCATTGACCATTATGGAACTTCACTTCATAATGATTTATATTTGGATCATAATATGAAATCCGGAGCTAAAAATATAATTTTTAATAAACGTAATAGTAAACAGCAATACGAAACTTTGTTACAACAAGATGACCGAAAACATTCTTCTAAATCACATCCATCACGAGGAACATCAGGCGGATCTCATAAAACATTTGAATCAATGATTTCATACCAAGAAGAAATGAAGTCGAATCTATCGTTAAGTTCACTTCGAATTCAGCGAGGACATGATGATTTTCACGAGAAAATCGAAAATAATAATGATGATAATAATGGTGATGATGATAATAATGATAATGACGACGATGATGATAATGATGATGATAGTATTAGCGCTAGCATTGATGATAATAGTGACAAAGGGAATGATAGTCATAATGAATTCATGGAGAAAGAAAAAGAAATTTTAGTGTTTGATAAAAGTAATCCAGAATCTGAAGATGAGGAAGCGGGATCAAATGTTAAAACATCTACTTCAACAGGAGCTGCAACTTCTGTTTGTGAGGAAACTATAGGATTAACGGCTTCTCCTTTGAGTAATACTAATTCTATTAGACCTTTTATTCGTATAATATTAATCGTTAAGCCTATGCGTCAAATACATCAAATTAGTATGACATATCAGTCGCGATTATGCATGTTATATCCATTTACATTATATGATGCATTACAACATGCAACTTTTAACACTTCTTTATACGCTTGTTCTCGTCGAGCAATGCAAATACTACAAGCTAGTCGTACTTATTTTGCACAAGAATTGCTTAGGCGATTGCAAGCCATGGATAATTTTTCAGATGTTAATGAACAAAATATTGAAGATTTCTTTTTTGAACCAGATGAACTTCCCAAAGTTCCTGAAGAAACTAAAAAAATCAAACAATGCCTTGATATTGTTCGTGATGAAATTAGCATTTTGAGGCAACAATGGAATTCTGCGTCTTGGGTAATGACAGCTATTGAATGGGATCGCCAAAGAACAATGAAATCTTATAATTTTGGTAGTCGATCATTATCACACAATTTTTCTAGAAAATCTATGCTCTCGAATCGTTCTACTTCAATTCGTAGTTCTAATAGAGAAAGCGATAATTCAAGTATGATAAAAGGAAAGAGTTCTGATACCGCATCTCAAATTGAAACTCTTCGAGATACCATATATCATGCACCTGATCGTGCATGGAATAATATTCGCCTTCTAGGGGTTAATATACCAACGTCCGATATCAGTCATGATTTTGTAAAAAATAAAAATTCTAATAATAAGCAAAAGAAACAAAATAATAAGAAAACATCAAAAACACAGAAGATGGCAGCCAATAAACCTATTCCACCTCTACTTGCTTTATATTTATCATCATTACCGTCCGTTTCTTCGAAAAATCGGGCATCAACATCATCAACTGTTGATAATAAGCAAAATAATATGGTCAATGCTGATAATCAACAAAATAACACGGTCAATGTGACACAAATAAGAAAGAAATCTACGCTAATGAAAACTCTTAGATTAGGTAAACGTAACCAACAAAATAGTATCGATGAATTGTCAGCAAGCTTCAGTCAATCAATGAATACAACTAATAAAGATAATAAAATTTCGGATAAGGATACAACCTTTGAAGGTAAAGAAGAAGAAGAAACAATAACAATCAACATTTTACCACCCGTTATACAACCTATAAATGCATCTGGGCCTATTACATTACTTACACCCACTTTTATCAAATCCTTGCAAGACCATGAAGATAAAGATTCTGAAGTGAATCAAGATGTTAGTTATTCTAAAGCTATCGATGATATTATAATCGAATCAATTGATGCTGATGATAATGATATGAAATTTATGAATGATGAACAAGGTCAAGAAGTCGAAACTTCAGAATATGAAGACATTACGTCTAAATATCCATCTGAAGATGAAGAAATTGAGTCTCAAAATGAACAGGAGGGTGAAGTTGAATCAATCTGTGATATTGATGATGACAAATTAGCCTCAGAAATTCATGCGATTGAAGAAGAAATCCACGCTATAGATACCTTATTAGATGATGATACATGCACCGTTGACATTGTGAATATTCCTCATAATAGCGAAGAAACTACAAGTGTTGATTGTTATGCCACTAAACATGATACTCTTGAAGTCAATGACATTCCTTTGGTTGTCAAGAAAACAAGCAAGTCTGATGATAAAAGTGAATCTTTTGAAGAAGCGGGCGATGACACAGAGAGAAACACTACAGGAGAAACTAATGAAACAAATGCAGATACTGTTGAAATTGATGTGAAAACTACCACTTCAAATAACCTTGACTTAGTTACCGAAGACAATGAAACAAATGATATTACTGAAACTAACGTTTCTAATTCAGATGATGCTGTACTTGACGCTATGATAGATGCTATTGTTGACGTTAATAATAATGTGAACACAAAGCATTCCGAATCTTCCGCTGATTTAGAAAAACTATTACCAAATGATTCATCAAATGATTCATCAAATGATGCACAAAGTGATTCATTAAATGATTCACCAAATGATTTACTAAATAATTCACCAAATGATTCATCTAATGACTCATCAAATAATTCATCAAATGAGACACCATTATCTTTAGTTACTTCTTCAACAGCTCAACCACATCTTCCTCCATCATCATCAACAGTAAATTCCACTCTTGATAATTCTTCACAATCAAACGTGCCTTTAGGATCAGATTCAACATCTTATTTCTCAGATTCACATGTTATTCGTTCAATTCCTCCTACACCTACAACACCATATTTTCCAGCTGTTGCTAATTCAACGGAAGTGCCTACACATTTACCTGAATTTCTACCAGAGCCTATATATGGAATGCCAGAACAATCAGTTCCTAATTCTAGTCCTCTATCAGAACCTGAATTCGAGCCAATTAACCCATTTTTAATACCACCTATGCCCACATCAACTTATATTTCACCAGAAACACCTTTGCCGTCAACACCTACCACACCACTATATTCTCCGTCATTGCAAGAGTCAAGGCCAGTAACGCCATTATTATCAAAGCTTTCATTATTCGAAGAGCTGAGGCAGGCAACATCTCAACAAAATTCGGACAAAGGAGCACTATGTGAAGATTTGAATCAAAATAAATCACCATCCATACAAACTCAATCATCTCCACCACACGGTCAACATTCACTTACGCCACGAGATTCACCGCCCGTTTCTCCATCTTCATTACCGCCTCCTTCATTATTGACGTCTATAGTTGCTATATCACCACAAACATTATCAACTCACACATCATATTCTCTACCATCTCAAAATATTCATTCTAAGGCAAGAACACCAACCCCGTCACTTATTTTTCCATCGTCACAAGTGTTGTTAACAATACCTCGGAGTCCTCAATTATCTCCAACATCCTCGAACGTTCCTTCAAATCCATCATATAAACAAATGTCAACAGACAACACAATACCAAGACCATCAACTTTAAGATCACCATCATCATCAACGTCGTTACGAACTGCAGCGCCTCTATTACCATCAGCACGCCCACCACCGCTTCCTCTTCCATCGACATGGCCAAAGCTTAAGAAAACAGTGCGTCCGGAACCTAAAAAGGTTGAAAGTGATGCAAATGAATTTTTTAAAAAGAAATCGCAGACACTTCATCAATATTTAAAATTAATGTCTGATGATGAAAGAAACGATAATAATGAACGTAAAGAAGTTAAAATTGGTGAAAAACTAATTGATAATGATTGTGCATCTTTAAACGGTGGTAGTGTAAATAATAAAGATATAATCACACCTGTTACTAATGATATTGGAGTTATGAACAATTAATATGATTCAAAACAATAACAATATGAGTAGCTTGTCGATTTATTTATTTATTTATTTTATTTTTTTTCATTTGGAAAGTTTACTTATTATATAGATCCTGCAATTATCTGTTTTGTATTATTTATTATTCATTTATTTATTTTTACCATTTCATCATTTTTATAAATACTTCATTCATACAATTATGCAAATTATTTATGATATACATATATATATATATATTTGAATTAATAGAGTTTAATGAAACTATTATACATATAAAGACTTATTAGATTAATTAATCTAATAATTTTTTTTAAATTAGATGACGGCTAATATAATAACAACTCTGAGTTAGCTTCATGAAGAGTTATCTCAAGATGAAAAAAATTATTTTACTGGATTTTTCGGGGTAAGAAAAATAAGGTTAGGACCCATTTAATCGAATTGAAAAAATACAGCCTGGTTTAATCTATAATATATACTACCATTATCAAATTAAAATTTTAATTAAATATTTATTCTTATCCTGAGTTTTAGTAAATAAAAAAATTTAAATTTTCTTAGTTTATTGGGATTTTTTTAAAATCACTCCGAAGAATCTAACTCATATATAAAGCAAAATTGAAAATCTTAAATTTCAAATATTCCAGCACTATTTGCACGAGATAATATTTTAAGACAGTTTAAGCTAAAAATTGATTTAATTAATTCGTATAATTTTTATATTTTAAACCAAATTAATTCTTAGCTTTTAAATTGTGCTTCAAAATAATGCTCTGGACGCAAATACGGTATAAGGCAGTGGAAGGTATTCTTGCGGAATTAAAATTTATCAAGATTTGTTTATAATAAAAATTTATTAAAATACTATGAATTACAAATTTTACTTCGATAAAACATAATTATTCGTACATTCAAATAAAATAAGCATGTTGACTTCTTATTACGTAGTGCAAAGCAACTTTAAGGGTTGGGAGGTAAAGTGGCGGATCGACAGATTAACATAATATTAACTAACGGTGCAAATAATTATTTAAGAAAATAATATTGATTACTTATACGTAATACATAACACACTATATCATTTTTAATAAATTTTTTTGAATCTTTAAACCAAAACAACTTAGCAAATACTTAATCAAATTTAATAAAATTTTTTTTTAAATGAATTCTATAAGTTTTTAGTATTGTTTTTTAAAAAAATTTTATTAAATTTGATAAAGTTATTGTTGAGTTATATTTGTTTTTTAAAGTTTTAAAAAAATTTACTTAAAGAAAATATGGTGCATTTTTATTGTCTTACTCCATATACATTCCAGAACCAATGCTAGTAGTTTTTAGAATATACACAAAAATAATTATCAATTTTATTATTGTATAGTTAGTAAAATTGTTAACATAATTAGTTTATTAAAAATATATAAGTTATTTGAATTTTTTATATCAAAATACATTAAGTAGTATAGTTTGTAAAGTTTATATAAACAATTAACAATATTAAAATGTTTGTTAAAATTACATTTTTAAAACAATTAGGGTTTTATTAAGTTATAACAGTTATTAAAATTTTAAAATCTGATAAAAAATTACTATTTTTTTTCCTTAAGCTGTTATGTTAATACTTTATTAAGATTTTGAAATTACATTTGCAATTATATAAATATTTCTAACAACTAAGTCTAGTATCATCTGGTCACCTTAATGGTACCTAGTACAACCTGTTGCATTACTTTGAGCAGAAGTAAGCTGCTTGTCTAACTACTTAAAGTCTATAATAAAAAGATTTTCATTTTTTCATAACAAGTCTCAAAATTGTCTTTTATGTTTTTTTTTTGATTTGCTTTATTTTTTTCTTATTTTCTCTTTTTTTTTCTATTTCTTACTGGTTTATCTTTTTCTTTTTCTTGGTTCTTTCTTCTTTTTTCTTCTTCTCTTTTTAACTTTTCTGCTATTTATTAAATTCTTTATACTTATTCATAAAATGTATTTCAAAATATGTTTGCTATTACATACATGAACTGCTGCCTTGATTTCATGTTTAAAAGATGTTATAAACAGTTCAGTATTTCTTTTAAAATTAGGTTTTTAATTAATATCTCTTTTATTTTAATTTTTTTATTTCTGTTTTCTCAAAAAGTATTATATATAATATATATAAAAATATTCAAACTTTTTCTTCTTCTTTCAGTTTTTTTCAAACTGTTGCAATAGTCATTTTTTGGATTCTCTTCTATAAATTTTTTTGTTTCTTATATACTACCAAATGTATCTGTATTTCTTTTATTTTCTTTTAGCATATTTAATATTTTGTTGTATATATATCTGATCTAAATTCATCTAGAATTACAAATTTATCTATTATACATTTTATAAATATATTTCTTCTGATACTAATTTTTCTTGTCATATAATATACTTTTTTAGTTCTTTTTAGCTTTTTCTAAAAATATGTACAATTATATATTATAACTTCTGCTTCTGGTTTTAAGTCTTTAATTGCTCTTATTTTTTCTATACTACTTTTAATCTTGTAATTGTTATTAACTTATATAGCAATTTTGTTGATATATCAGTTTATTTGTTTTTCTATTTTAGGCAATATTCTTTCTCTTTACAATTGACTTTTTTGGACTGTATTATTTTCTTACTTGTTACTTCTTTCTTTACTAAACTATTAGCTTTATTATTTTACCTATCTTTACTATAACTTTTTACTTTAATAATTTGATATTGCTATAGCTAAAATCAATACTGATAGTTAGAGCATATTATTAAACCCTATGCTCTTGTAAAGTTCATCCTAATTCTGATACTAACTTTACAATATATTCTTACTACTTTGGTATTCAATTCAAGTTCTACCAAGCTACCATTTCAGCTAGCCTAAAAAAGTAGATTGTAACTATACACTTCTAGTTTACATGTTTGCCAGCATGTATCTTTTTTCTTTAAAATCCTGAAATTCTGATGGCCTAGTTGGTTCATCTAGTTTCTCCTTAAAGACTAGCATATTTGCTTAGTTTTACAAGTTCTAGCTCAGTTTCATAAGTCTAGTTTTTATAGTAGTACTATTAAAAGTTTAAGTTATCTGACCTGCGGGTCAGTAGCGAAGTGGTTACGCTCCCAGGTCACCAATCGTAAGGTTGCCGGTTCAAGTCCAACGGGGGACGAAAACTGAGT